GACAAGCTCGAACCAAAATGACGTGTAACGCGGACGATTGAAGAGGAAAGGGTGACACGGTGCTTGCAGCAGGAAATGGTGGGGGTGGCGGTGGTCCCGGGTGGCGACGAAGCCGTGTTGTGTAAATCTATAAGTTTTCATATATTGCATAAAATATGTTTATTACATATTTTCACTATGCCGACACGTATTTGTGTGCCTCACTACCCTCCTGCCACGTATTTTATCCTACGACTTTTACCTCGTTCTTTCGCCGCACTGCTCGGGCTTGGAGCTCGCGACGCCCTCGCGGGGCGGAACGATCATCGATTCGGTTCACGTTCGAATCATCGGTTTTTTGAACACGTTCAACTGATCGCGAGATGAGGATTGACAGGCGATAACTGGCTGGACGGTTTCTTTCGTCAGAATATTCATTCGATCTATTCGAGCCTTTCTGATTGTTCAGTGATAGGGAGTTCTTTGCGCACATTGGAAGATTCTTTGACACGTTAAGTGCCGATCGGGACTATTTTCTGTACAATTATCCCTTTTAGAGAAAAGTAGTAACAATTATTCACTGTTTCGCGTTACAATCTTTACATTACGCTGTTATCAACTTAGTTACGTTAACGCGTTGAACGCCGCATGATTCCATAGAGCAAAATACTCAAAATAGAAAAAATATGATATTAACCCTAATCGGACCATGATGCGACTCTGAGTCACATTTGAACTTTTTACTTAAATTTTTTGATTATTTCATATTGTCAAAAGTTTCTTTGGACTTTTAAAATTTTGACCCTATAAACAGAAACAATAACATTTTAATCATTCCTTTTATTTTCACAAGTGACTGAGAGTCACGATTAGGGTTAGATCATTTGATTAAATTGCATTGTTATTATTGCAAGTTCATCTAGCTGAATGTCATCGCATTAGCTAGCATTATCTATAATATAGAAACGTTTTCAAATAATCATCGTTTGACCATTTTGATGCGACATCGATTATCTTACATTACGATTGTTTCCAAGTAAATCATTCACGTCAGTCGTCGACTGAAACGGCATTTAACGTGTTGAATCGCTCGAAATGAGTAGACGTCGGTGATTTCAGTGTAACGCGAACGAAATTTCACTTTTGAGTCTGGACACCCGAGGGGGACGATCTAGATCAGAGCTGGCCAACCTTTTGCATACCGTACGCCAATTTTGTTCACAGACAAGTTCAGATGCGCCGTACAACTCAAGCACATCTTCGACTTTCTTACATCCACGGTTGGGGTAGGAGAATGGGAATAAGGGTAGGATCAGCTTCGCTTAAGGAAGAAAAAGGAGTAACTCAATCTCGCAATTAAATTAACCCCTTGGCCTGTGATTTCTTTCTCAACTCTGATCGATACGGTTATTTTGTCATTAATAATTTATTGGAAAAAGGGACAAATTCTATGCATATGTTATGCCTATATTTCCTTTTAAGTATAATAGTCGATTACAGAGGAATAATATTTACTTTGTATTCGGATTAACTAAGTAATATGTATACATTTATTGAATCATGTTGAAAATCTTCACCACGAGTCTCACTCGTTGTTGTAGGACCAGGGGTTAATTCATTTACGCGAGTTCAAAAGACACAGGTGTATCGAAGCACTTAAAAAAAGAAAGAATAAGTAGGCGCAAGGATGCAATGCACCACTTGTAATCATTCAATGTGCCACATTTGGCGCACGCGCCACGGTTTGGCCAGCTCTGATCTAGATGAAAGAATCGAAAACGAAAGGACTCGGACGTAGGAAAATGCGGAGGACAAAACGAATCTAGACGAAACCCAGATACTTGCTGCTCAGGAATCATCAGTTCAGAGATTACGAGAAAAGAAACGGACGTGCTTCGAGGAATAACAAATAGACCATACACCTACAAACAAACAAACAAACAAACAAACAAACACACACACACACACACACACGTCTGCCAACACACGTACATATACACGATGACACGGTACACACGTGTACCTCTAAATGATAAGTATCGACCTTGATCCCGACAGAGAAACTACAACTGCACCGAGAAAATTTGTATCTTCTTTTCCCACCAATAGTTGCTTACATTTGTATACGGCAAAGAATATATTAAAAGATTATGTAAGTAGTTTTTTAAACCATCCGATGAGTTTTCTTCTTCACACTGTCTCTCGCGTTTCGAGATTGCTTCGTATCTGTTTTCCTTTCTACGGTGTACAGCTTCCTTTCGTTTCTTATCAGTTCACCCATCTGCGATAGCGATCTTGCCGGTGTCTCGTCGTCGGTGCGAACTCGTTGAGATTCGGGAGGCAGGAAATCGATAGAATCAGTCGCGCTAGATTCCGCGATAACGGAAATCGGTGGGTTCTCGTCGACGTCGTTACCGCCGGATCGTTGCTTCTCATATGCGAGGATCGCGTTCGACCAGGTCCGTTTGTGTAAGGATGACAGAGTCGGCGAGGATATGCCATTTCCTCGAAGGTAAGTCTCATTATTACCATTATCTGTTATGAACTTACTGCACTGCACAGAATAATATTTTGTAACGCTACTGTATTGACAACGTAACGCTAATAGTCACGGTGGATTGTGTAATTATGTGAATTGTTATATTTGTTATATTCTACACTTCTGTAATTTATTAAAAACGGAAGGAAATATATAATGTTTCTTACTTTAATCGTCGTAACTTATTTATTCCTCATGCATTCCGTTTCCCTGCAGATATGACGTTATTATTTATAATGACGATTCTTACAACGTCCCAAAAATTTGTCTTAAAACGAAAACCTCGACGAAACGCTTAAAAATCATGTTTACCGACATGACGCCGGTTGCAAGTATTCAGGGGCATCACTCACGCAGGCGTGACAGCGGCCTTAGAAGCAAAGGCGATTCGTAATGGGCAAAATCCTGTCCCTATCCCACCAATGAGTAAGACGAGGACAGTGCGGGTGTGCGAGAAGGACAGAGATAGCGAGCAGTGGCGCCATCTAGCGGGGTGGAATTTGGAAAGTTTCTCCCTATACCCGTAATGTGTAAGACAAGGACAGAGATAGTGCGCGACAAGGACAGAGCTAGCATTCCTCAAGCCACCTACTTCGAAAAAGCATCTCATCAGTCCCTGGTACGTACGCGCGAAGCATGA